TTATTTCTTTTTATTATTATTTTTATCATAATTATTAAGGTGTGTTTGTTTCTTTCTCGTAGAGCAAAAAAGGGACACTTACATAAACGTTTTGCCGTTGGTGATTCAGAACAATTGAGATAGACTGCACTAGCTGTGTTAACGAGTGCGTGTGTGTAGTAACTATCTGGGACAACTTACACCGCTCACTGGTTTCTAATTGGTTTTGGGTTTCCTTAAAGAAACTTTGATTCAAAAACTTCGCCCAGAACGTGAGAAAGCATTCATTTAAAAACTTGGATCAGGACTTACGAAAACGTTTATTCAAAGATTTGGATTAGAGCAGGAGCGATTCAAAAACTTGGATCAGGACTTACGAAAACGTTTATTCAAAGATTTGGATTAGAGCAGGAGCGATTCAAAAACTTGGATCAGGACACAAAGCGGCGATTCAAACACTTGGATCAGAGCAGGAGAAAAGTTAAGTCAAAAGCTTGGACCAGAACAGAAGAAAACGTTGATTCAAAAACTCGGATCAGTTCGTGAGAGGAAACGTCTATTCAAAAACTTGAATCGGATCATGAGAAGCGATTGAATAATTTTTGGTAAAACCCTGTGGCCCAGAACCCTCTCTGTGTCTCCTACAGCCCGATGCCTTGAGCACAGGTATGGGGAACCACACCATCAATGGCTACGAAGACGCGCTGCACCCTCTCTCGTGGGCAGACGATACGAATCACGTGACTGACTCACGCGGACTTTTTAGAGGTCACTTTGACCTAAAGTCCAGCCCACCCAGTGGTCACTTTGACCTAAAGTCCAGCCCACCCAGTGGTCACTTTGACCTTAAGTCCAGCCCACCCAGTGGTCACTTTGACCTTAAGTCCAGCCCACCCAGTGGTCACTTTGACCTAAAGTCCAGCCCACCTAGTGGTCACTTTGACCTTAAGTCCAGTCCACCTAGTGGTCACTTTGACCTAAAGTCCAGTGGCCACTTCTCGCGGGCAGCCAGTAGTAGTGAAAGCATCAATACCATAGACTGTGAGGACTCTGTTTTCAGCCCGGACGCCACCGGTTCCGCGGACTTTTTCGACTTCCGGCTGACCACGCCCCAGGTGACGTCAGGATCACCTCCTGGTGGCGGTGCGAGACTCGCCGAGGACGGCTTGGGGAATTCCCCGTTCCATCCGCAGAGTTGCAGCCCGTCTCACAGCGCCAGTTCTGCTGAGTATACGGCTGGGATCCCACCCCCGAAAACAGCTCCGTATTTCGAGAAAGAGGGGGATCTTTCTGCCAACATACCTGTTGCTGCTTCCAGCTGGGACGGGTCTCTCACTGCACCGATGATGTCTCAATCCCTGTCAGTCGCCAGCGCAGATTGCGTCATCAAACGAGAGGTACTCGAACCCCTGCCCGTCAAATACGAGTGTCAAAAGTCGCCCGTGGGCCCCTCGTTCCTCAGCCCGACGGCAGCCTCCGCAGCCGCCTCCCCCAACCACCACCACCACCACCAACATCACCAGGGACAATCCAACAACACTTTCCCGCTCTACCAAGACAGGATGAACGGCTACACCAACGGTGACCTCATGCAAATAGGTCAAGGTCGCAGCAATAACCCTCCCAACGCCAGCCCCTCGTGTCTCTCTTCAGTCACCACGCCCCCATCCGCCTTTCCGCTTTCAGCACAAGGCCAAGGTCAAGGGCAGGGGCAGTGTCAAGGTCCCGCCCCCTACGGGGGTCAAGGTTACCCCGCCCCCGACTACCCTGCGACTTTCGGAGGCGGGCCGTACGCAGGCGTTCCGTACACGGGGAGCCGACCTTACCGTAGCTTCAGCAGCGAGCTCAACTCTCCTGACCTACCCCTGCCCGAGGAGCTCAGCATGGACCTCGACTTCTCCAACATCACAGACACGGAGCTCGACCAGTACTTCAACTACGGCATGGACGGCAACAACAACAACAGCAACATCAACAACAACAGCAGCAGTACTAACAGTAGCAACGGCGGTCGTCACAACAACAGCGGTATTGGGCATAACAACAACAACAACAACAACAACAACAACAGCAGCAGCAATCATCATAACAGTCTCACTTCTGCTGCTGTCGCTGCCACAACCAGCAACGGGGTTCATTCTAACCACAACAACAACAACAGCAACAACAACAATAATAATAATAATAACAACAGTAATAGTGTTAATAACAGCAACAATAACAAAAGCAACAACGACAACAACAGCAACAGCAGCAGCAGCAGCAGTGACGTCTTCGGGGGTCCCCGTCATGCAGCGTGTTACACCAACCTTCGCCCGTCTGAAGGCAACAATATGGCAGCTCCTATGAGCACAGCGGAATCCCCCCCTTCTGTTGCTATGGCAACGGACGCCCGGGACCTTTTCAAAACGCCGGAAAGAAAGGCAGACTGCCAGTTCACGACCTGCTCCCCACCCGCCAGGCACCCACCCGCCAGGCACCCACCCACCACGCCCACGCCGGGTCTACCATCGACGAACATGCCGCATCAAGAACTGCAACAGCCGACCCCGCACCACAATCATCATCATCCTCATCATCAACATCATCACCATCATCATCACCCCCACCCCCACCCCCACCATCATCATCATCATCCCCCTCCTCCTCCTCCGCCTCCTCCCCCTCCACACTCTCAACACCATCATCAACTCCACCCCACTCAGAATCACCACCCTCATCCTCACCACCATCATCAACATCAACATCAACAACAGCAACAGCAGCAGAACAGCTTTATTTGCGAGCCATCATTCAACGGTTTTCCCCTGAAGAACTCATGCCCCTCCTCCTCTGTGCCCCCTCTGCTCAACGGGAATTTCCACAATAATTACGAAATGCTCGCTCCGAACGCACACTTATATTCCCGATCGTGCGCACCAATGGGATATTTTGACGGTGAAAACCGGACATACAAAAGTCTTGGGCAATGCGGTGGTGATTCGAAATGGCAGCAGTCGGGGTACAAGTGCTATTCCCAGAGCCCCAGCGATTCTCACTTCGACAGTTCGGCTTACCCCGCGGACGGATCTATGAAACCGGAAATTCCCGATCACAGCAGCTTTTGCGCAGGTTTGTTTCGTTTATTGTTGAACGCCTTGATGCAAATAATTATAATACTATTACTATTACTATAATGGGCTTGTTTGTTTTGTTATTGTTGTTTCTGTTTTGTTATGTTGTTGTTTGTTGTTGTTGTTGTTTTTGGGGGGAGGGGGGGAGAAATGGAAGCGCTCATATGACCTTACGCAGTTGCGAGCGCCGTAAAACCCTGTACTACTACTACGGAGAAATGGAAGATGGAGAGAGGAAAGGATAGGGGAGGGACGGGAGGGGGTGGGGTATATATACGTGGTGAAAGAGTGGAGACTTTCTACTCAAGATGGGAAAATTGGCTAATTCTTCCTTCTTAGATATTCAACTTTACGTGAACTTTTTGACGATTTTAAGGGAAAATTCCTACCTATCTATCTATCTATCTATCTATCTATCTATCTATCTATCTATCTATCTATCTA